ATATATATGATATATAATATAAAATATATATCAAAGAAGATTCGTTTACATTTCTCGTAATATTTAAACTGCGGTAGTATCTATCGAACCAGCATATCGAGCTATCACAAAGTAGAGTGTGTTCAGAAAGACTTCAACTTAAGTCCAAGTAATTGCAAGAAAGTATCATTCATAGTCGAGCGACTTCTTCCTACTGATAACGAACACAAACAGCCGTTAAGCGAAGTGGAAAGAAGAAAAAACGCATGGCGTCCGCAAACTTTCATCAAGGACGCTCGATTAGAATCGACAAGAAAACTTGCAACAGGTCAGAAGATTCGCCTTGCATACACGATGGTTCTTTCGAGGTGAGGGATTCCTTACGGCGTTGAATGTTTGAATAATGTTGACAATCGCTTACTGCTATGATAATTCTAAATAATGACGATCTCGAGGCGATGAATCTGTACCTAAGTCTAATTAATGAACATGTAATACAAACGAATCATTAATCAAGCGAGGTTTTGAACTCAAACAATTCAATCTAGATAACTACAGTAAATCCTTGTATAACGGGAGGAATATATTCCGCGTTATATAATACCGCTCTTATACAATGCTCATGGATTACATAAAGTTTAAAAATACTGTTTATTATAAACTATGCATAAAACTTGTTTTCAATACATTATAATAATAAAATTTTATTTATTTTATTTTAAAAATGAGAAATGAGAAAAAAAATTTAAAAAGTTCTTCATTATATAACTTAAATTATATAATTTTTCATTTTATATAAACCGGCAAAGTATAATTGAATTCAAGTATAAAAATTAAATCTTGAAATTTATTTATCGCGTTATAAAAGGCTTGTTGCTTTTTTTTTTTTTTTTATAAAAGTATCGTGCAATGCAAAGATTTACTATATATGTGCGCGTATATTTATATCACAATTTCTTCGAAATGCAGTTTGAACTGTAGAAATCGAATTGGGAAGTATCGCCAACTAGTTTCGTGTCGATAGTGTCTACTGGATATGAAGGAGTAACGGAAATCGGCATCAATACACGCTCGGATCTCACACGCATTGGTATGCGTGTCACAACGGTCTCGTTGTTCCCGTTTGACGTCCCGCGACGGGAAAATATCACGGATAAAGTGGAGACATATTTGAAAAGCAGTCGCGGTGCCGGAGCGAAAATAACAGAGAGAACGATGATACTACTGCCTCGTGTATCCGAGAGTATGCACGGCAATGCACTCGCAAACTGCATGTTTCTCCAAGGCGACTCGACGGTGAAAAGTTTCTCACAATTATAAGAGAAAGAGTTGCGGAGAAAGAGAGAGAGAGAGAGAGAAAGATGCATTGGAAAATAAAAAACATTCAACGAAAATATGTGGAATCAGGTTCGTGTTATTAATATGAATTTTCAATATAAATTATAAACATAAATTTTATTTAAATATAGATGGATTTCCTTGAAATTATAATTTGCAATCTATCTCTCTGAAAAAATATCAAGTTTGCGAATACTAATTTTTTCCAGTTATAATCTCCGTGGAAAAAAAGATTACCATAAATATAATATTCCTATCTGGCAAGTGATATTTAAAATCGCAGTAACATGAATTAGCATTAAATAGCAATGTAAATTAAAGCTTTTGTCTCGCGTCAGTGAAAGACGTTATTTTGCTTATTGATGAGCCATTCCAAAGTAAATTAAAATACAGCAAAAGAGAGAGGCAATTGTTTTGGGATAGCTTCTTCTTTTCGAGCGCCGCATAAAGCTGGACCACAGAACTGAATGATTAATTCGAGAATTAAATTTTCAAAGGTAGCACGATCGTTATTTACTCTTTTCTTTCCTATCGTCTCTTGCTTTTTATAATCGGATTCCGTCGTTGGTATCCTTCGATATGATATCTTCTCATTATAACTGAAATTGTTTTTCGCGTTGTTTCTTTGTCTTTAAGAAAATTAGCATTTATCCGTCGGCGAAGTCGATTGTGATTACCGTTACGTGTATAATTCACAATAAAGTGTCTGCCTGTTTATTACGTTTCATTAAATCTCCGTGTTTGATCGGATTATTTCGATTGTTGCGCATTCGTTATTTCGGCATGCAAATGTGACACTGGCGAAAAAAAATGAAATGTTAGTTTTAGATACAAACTTACGGATATTTAAAAGCAAGTGTGTTTTTTATCGTATTATTAAATATATAAATATACAAGAAAAAAACTTAACACGCGTTTAATGTATATAAGAATACTATTCGTAAATATGATAACGATACACTATTGTGTAAATTCCTTCTTTAAATTTCTCTGATATAGACTCATTACACAGTACAATAAAAAAAACACTAAAGATAGTGATGATTAAAAAAGTAGACTATCCATCAACAACTTTCAAATTTTTGCACAAAATCAAAAGATGTATTTTATAAAAAAAAAAAAGAACAGAAAAGTTCCCGGAGTAATATACTTTAAAATAAGACTAACAAACGCAAGGCAAGAGAATATAATAAATAGGAGAAGAATAGCTCACCAAAAATCTCTCCGCACGTGTAAGCAACTTACTTAGTTATGAGTTGAAAACGAAGAAAAAAGGGAAAAACATGTAATATTATACTATAATTTTCATAAAATATTGAAAGACTCAAACGATTATCTTCCAATTTTAATAAGAGTTCCGAAAAATTTCAATCATTTATAATAAATGGAAATACAAAAAAATTCCTAGATGAACCAGATTCTTTTGGGACATTTCTTCGATGTATTTCGTAAATATTGTGTGTTTTATTTTTTTCTTTTGTTCTCAATTCTCATAACTAACGTAAGTTGATTACGCTCGCGGACATCCTCGTTAAACTATTTTTCTCCCGTTTTTTTATCTTCTTGCCTTTCCTTATCTTTGTTAACCGCACATCAAAGTGTTGCTCCGGGGAATGTATTCTTACAAAAATGAAAGCCTGTTCCTTCCGTTTGACTACCCTTGTCTTTTACATCCTTTGACTCCACGACATAGTCCGGAAGCTGGCTACTGGTGGACGGCGTGCTCGAGACTTAATTTCAACGAGAAGTTATTTCGGAAGATTCCACCGCGCAGCTCTTGATTATTTTTAATTAAATATATTCTCTTATAATTTTTTAATATTTTATATCCCTTTCTACATAATTATCATTTATATTATTTACTTTTTATAAATTAAACAATCTGCTTATCGCGTCGTTTTCTTTTATATCACTATTTAACCGGGACGCGTAGGAAATTCGTATACTGTTTAACGTATAGTGATCATCAATAAGAATGCAGAGAAGATGATATCATTTGGAAATTTAATTCATTCTACTTTGCGGATATCAATAAATCGCGCGCTGATGATTGCGTTCGAGAGGCTCTTTTACCGTCCCGTTTTCGCGATTGGACATCATTATCATTTCTATTACATGTATATGTCGTTATTACATGTCCCGTTGTCATCAGCTCGCGTCTATGACAAGAATGTCATATTTTACAGATTTTATCGCTGTCGAATGCATTTTCAGCGATCCGGATGCATTTCCGTGATATTATGTTCACGGCGCTGCCGGTAACGAGAAATACGCAACGCAGTCTAACGCACTCGGAAGGGTGGCGAAAGTGCGTCAGAATGCGAACGGCGGCGTTGCAGCACGGGCGACACACAGTTATGTACATACACAATCGCGCTGTGTAACTCGTGCAGCGCGATGAAGCTCGACATTAAAGAGCCCCCTCGCAATATCGAGGGCGAGACGCAACACGGAGAGCGACTTGGCAGGGCCTAGAGGATACGGAGAGCGTAATGTAAACTAATTAGCAACGAGTCTACGTCAATTAAGCCCGCTAGAGTGCCTTTCGCGGTGACATCCCGCCAGTGGGGAGGATGCTGCATCGACGTCTCGTGCTGTGACAATGATGCACCTACTGGGTATCTCATGGAGGTCGAAAATTATCGATCCGGCCAATGCCTGTCTCGCAAACTACGTCGCAAAATATGCATTGAATTAAATATTTTTCTTTTGAAATTTAATTTTTTTTTTTTTATGTAAGATTATTGTACAAAAAGAGCGGTAAAATTGCGAGTTCTTAGATTGACTTGGGCTTTTGAATTTTATGACCAGTGTGTACTATAAATAGTGTCTGACTCTTTTCCAAAATTTCTTAATTTTTCTAGATTTATCTAATCATTTATATAAATATTTCGCGTCTTGTGAAACGGTAAGGAGCTATAAATGTTGGGCTCGCGTGAGCTTAAATGCAGCAGATATATAACACGCTAATAGGAAAATACTAAAACGGGAAATTACGCTCGTCCTGTGACGTCTATCACATCTACCCGATCGAACGTGAGTCGCAATTATCTCATCTACGATGAACGAAATTTAATCGTATTTAAAACAACTATCCAGATATTTGGTCTAATAAAAATATCATTGAATGAACTATGTATGTCTGTGGCAGACCGTGACGTAAATTTTAATTGAAGCAACAGCATTTTTTTCCCGTGTATTATTAATATACACAGAGAGTAACAGAGAGAGAGCGAGAAAGAGAGAGAGAGAGAGAAAGAGAGAGAGACACACTCGGAGAGACAGTCACTATTTTATTTATAATTTAAGATATGATTCCCGGAATGCGCCGTCATTTGTGCATTATCCAGCCGGAGCGGATGACGTCTTTCCTTTTTCCCGATCGCTCTCACGCCGTGACACAGCAACAAAGTGGATTTATGTGATGGAAAACTTGCCGATATCTGCCTCTCTCCTGCGACAAACATTTTTCTTGAGTGCAGCTCCGTACATAGCTCTCTCTATATATATTCGATTTCGCGGGCCGCTGCTATCTAACTAAAAGCGGGGCGGCCCCTTCCATCAAAAGGGGACCGATAAATCAGTTCCGAGAATCGCGCTTTCGAGAAAAGGGTGGAAAATCTACTTGCGAAGGAGACCTGCGCGACGAAGTTCTAAAAGAGAGACCTCTATCCTCTGTTAAGCGATCGCGAAAAATGTATATTATATTTATGAATTTTACCCAACGCAAGATGAAAGATATTCACGAGGTATAAAAGGCTACGATTTAATTGTCATAAATGTTTGTTTGTAATTTACTCAATAATTTTTCACATAAACCTTCGCTATAATTATAAAAAATGGTGTATTTAAGATTCACGTGTATTCCTACGTGTATGTCTAATACTTTATATTTATTTTCTTGTGTGTGCACTCTTTCTTTCTCTTTTTCTCAAAAGAATACGAGCGGTAAATATATAGAAGGTATTTGCATGGAACAACTTCCTTTTTAAATATAAAAAGAAATTTAGTTATTATATTTAAAAAAAAAGTTCTTTATACATGTATAAATAATACCTAAATATGCCTTTTTTATTTTGAATTAAAACATTGCTTTTATAATTGTAAACTAATTTTGCATCTGCTAATAATATTTAATTAAATTTGTTATCAATTATATAACAATAAATGTTAAACACAATCGTCGTATATATATCCTGTGCGAAAACTTAAATAAATAAATCTCTATATTCGTACTGCTAAATATAAACTTTGGATTATTGGACAAACATAGTTTTCATGTTATAAAGATAAGTGATGGTGGAAAATAAGAGGTTTCCCAATAAGACTCGTGTTAAGTTGAAAGTTTTGCAAAAGAATCCGCGAATATCATGGATATTGATCGATATTCCTACCATTTCGCACATCTTTTAATGGCCTTCCGTCTGGCGGCTTTAAACTCGCGGTTAATAAGTACTTCATCAAGTTACCGTGAGCCACGAGAAGAGGAGAAACTCGGTATATAGCGAGCGGGATTGCGCAGATTTCGTAGATTATATCGCGAAATTGGCTAATCTGCGCTACTCCGAGTAATCGCGAGTAAATTCCGCGAAAATTCGACGCTACAAAATGGATTTTGCGAGAATAAATATAGCTAACAGATTATTCAACCGCGAAAATTATTATACGCCGGTTCTTCTCATCCGGCGGTCTGGTAAACGTCAAACTCTCGGAAATTGCGATGCGGATACGAATCACTTCGTAAGAAGAAACGACTCGTCATTTTCAAGATTTGTATACAGTGCTTCAAGATCGTGCTACAAAAAAAAATTACATGGAGAAATGATTTTTCTCGGAATAAATAATTCTTTCCGCGTAGTCGATATTTAAAATTTCCCTGATGTTGAAACAGCCGTTTCACCATGATTCTAAAATAGCAATATCTGATTGTTCCCATAATCTATCCCATTATCTATCCCTGAAGGATGACAGTGCCATGATAAGGATGATTGAGGAATATAAGCTGATAAAACGCGTTCTAAACGAATCGCGCAAACATATTAAAATAATTTTTCTCATTATGCAATTTACAATATGTATCTACGTCTTATATTTACGATGTCGTACACAAAAGTAAGGATAATAAATTTAATAAAATGTTAAATTATAAGAGAATTAAACTTTATATATTATATTCAACGTAGAACAAATAATGAAATTTAAAAATGAATGAAAGACAGAGACAAAACTGATTTTACAGAGATCTCTGTATATTACAACCTAAAAGCTACCAACATGAAGGTTTAATTAAGCTTTCACAACGATATAACGTACATTTTAATATCCAACCTCATTATGCATTGGTCAGTACAATTACAATATTAATAACCGCAGTTGTAAGATCATTACTGGACCGTTTGAACTCCATTTTTTGTACTTGGCTTTGTTTTATAACTCTTGGCATTGTTTTATAACTGTTTCTTGTGGCGTCCGCGAGAAAAGCGACAAATGATTTTCGCGCCTAACGATGGGAGGGGGCGAAAAACAAGCGGGTCCGCGTCGTCTAGTTCTAATGGATAACGCTGCGGGAATGAAGAGATGAGGGATGGTGGAGGAAGAGTTCGCGCGGAGGGTTGGCAAAGAGGCGCTTCGAGCAAAAGGAAGAGGCCGAAAAAGGCGGAAAGAAGGCCGAGGAGACGGCGGCGGCGGCGATGACGATGACGACGACAACGACGACGACGACCGCGCGAAAGGGGACGAAGAAAAGGAGGCGAGAGCGAGAGAGGCTGACTGAAGCGCGGAGGAGTGTTACAATAGCTTGCAGATTGAAGAGGCAGACGTACAGTCCCTGACCTAGCCGCGTACAGTCCCTCCAGAAGGTTACGGCACGAATGTCACGCGAAATGAGCACTCCATCGCGCTCTCTCGCGCCTGATCAAACCACTATATTACTACTTGTACAAATACGCAAATATATCCCGACCAGACGAGGGATCTGTCCTCCGGTGGTTCTCAACCTGATTGATCGAAGCTGATCTTTTCGCTGTACGGATCATCCGTCGCTGTACTTTTCAAAAGATTCACGAGGGATCAGATTGATAGTTTCGGTGATATG